TTCTTGAGTACATGCCAACCAAGTCGGAATTCGACCTGCTGATTCCTCGCAAGAGACACGTAGAGTGCCTCGCTTTCTGATAAAGGGTGAAGAGTGTCGGGTTTCGTGATGATGCCAAGGGTACGATTGCCATCAGCGTCCGCTGAACGTGCTAGTTTCAAAACAACCTGGTTTGCGAAATCGTTCTTGGCCGAAACAACAGCGAGGATGATGCTTCGAGGCTCCTTCATATAAGATTCCACTACCTCCTGGATGAGCTGCACATCGGACGCTGTCTGTTGCTTGGTCTGAGAGTGGATGAGGCCCGGGAGATCAACAATTGTAAGGTGCGGACGATCGGGCCCAGATATTTCTACGCGGAGTAGATCCTTTGCGAATGTCTTGCCACGTGTCGAAATACCCATGACAGACTTGGCGGTATCTATAAGAGTCGGGAAGCCTTCGAAATCCTCCAGCTCTTCTTCGAAGCTGGCAAGTGTAGCCTTCTCGGATTCACTTCTGGAGTGGTGTGGAACAATAGAAACGCGGGCGCCAACTTGAGATGTCCTGCGCAGGACAAGCTCGGTGGGGAAGCGCGTGCAAAGATTGCTCTTCACGGGGAAAGACACACCAGATACGGCCTCCAGAACAGAGCTTTTTCCTGATGACTGATCGCCACAGACAATTATCTGTGGGAGGGAAACAAAATGGTCTATCCCTTGGGAGCGAAGACTGTCGATGGAATCCATCAGGTCAATTCGGTCCTTAGAGCAGAGGCCGTTCAAGGCCTCTGACCGAAAGGCTGTAAGTACCATTGCTAATGCAGTGTTTTCAGGAGGTGATGAAAGGACGTGATATCTAATGACGTCCGAGAGGGCGGGTCCTGGGAAGAGAGAACTCAAGAGCAGAACCGGAGTTATGTAGTCCACCTAGGTGCAGAAGCCGGCACGCCGGCGGCACGCCGGAAAACCAAGTCTCAATAGGGAGAATTTTAGCACGTTTTTCTCTTAGTCATGACATTCCTCTCTGCTCCACATTTTCAACAAATAAGTGTGCCTTATCGCGTGTATCTGTCGATCACTGTGCTATGACGAGTGGTTTCACCCTGATCAGCCTCAACGCCCTTTGAGAGGTGGAGTTTCAGACGCACGGCACACATGTAACCACATCTCGCAGGTCATGGACAGCATAATTCTCATCCCTTTCTACTCATCACTTCTTGGGAAAACACGAGGTCTGAGCCGTCACACCACCAGCAGGCCCAAGTATAGATCGAGGTTCTGCTTTCGAAGTACCATTTGGCCGAGCGCGCTCGCCTGCTGGACCTGTTCTTATTTGCTTTGTTGGTCGCTTTCCTGTCAGGCAACGAGAACCTTCTTTTGCAGGAATTTCCCAGCTATGTACTTAAGATTCGTGATCGAGGCATCTCTGATGATGCCCAATTTTTCGTCCAGCGCCCTAATGCCTGTAGGAACTATCCTTCCAGGATTGGTACTGCTTCTTGCGAGAGGAGTGCAGATTGTTGCCTTGCTGCCTCATTTCGGCACGAGATGTGATGGGCAGGGGGGTGAGATCATAGGAAGATGTCGGTCATGGAAATTATCAGACTGGTAGAGATGCACATGCGCACTGCAGTGTCCATATGCGCCAATGCACATTGGTATTCACTGATGATGATAGGTGGAAATCCGTCCAAGTACTGCTTTTGAGAACGCATCGCATGCTGGTTGGATTGAGGCTTGCAAAGCACAAACCTGATCTGGACGCCTGATTTTAAGGCAGCATAATCAATGCTCATGGCCGCAATGCTCGTGGCCAGGGCTAGCCCAGCGCACGACTCGTCTCGCTCATCGTGAATCTAGATAAAAGCCTCCGTTCATAGCCAACTGC